GCTCTTCTCTGTCTTTCTCAGTCAAACTCCATTTTACAACTCACCCCCCTTCTCCTTTCTCCACAGGATGACCAATTAGGAACAAGCAAAAAGTGTCTTGTCCCGCCTAAGTTTCTCAGGTGCAAGGACCTGTTATGACTACAAATATCTCAGCTCTCCAGCCATCCTAGCAACGAGATAAGGCTGAGAGCTATGCAGTTGAAAACAGCATGTGAAATCCCTGTAACAGACACAGACATTTGATTCAAAATGGATGCCATTAAGACAATCTTATAACTACATAAACCATTCTAATAAACACACAAATCACTTCCAAAACACATATCATTACATTGTTTTTCTTTAATTAATAAAAATATAAATAAATAAATAATCTCTTAAAGCTTTCTTATTTTTGCAGACTTTTTCAAAACAATCCATTTGAATACCACTGAGAATGTTATTATCACTTTTGTACACCAACCAGAATAACCATTGGTCAGATGGGTGGAATGAATGAATGAATGAATAAATGAATTAGAAGAAATAAAAGAGTCCTCACACATCTAATGAATATCTGCATTATTAGAACCATGAAGAGAATCCACATCCAAGTATTATTAAAAACAAAACAGCAGAGGTCACCATTATGTTGCTTTGGAGGGAGCTTTTATGAAGACAGCACTTCATATTCCAAAGTAGAAACACCAGTAAGACACATGACTATAATCAAAACTGACTGGCAAGACAATGCAGGAATATCTGCCAGGTGGTTGTCTATATTTCTCTTGAATGCCTCCAGTGTTGAGGCACTCACTACCTCTCTAGGTAATTAGTTCCATTGCAGTACTGCTTTAACAGTTAGGAAGGTTTTCAACCAAAATCTGGTTTCCTGTAACTTGAACCCATTTTTGCATGTCCTGCACTCTGGGATGACTGAGAACAAATCCTGCCCCTCCTCTGTATGACAGCTTTCCAAGTATTTGAAAAGTGTTATCATGTCTTCTTTTCTCAAGGCTAAACATGCCAAGTTCTTTCCATCTTTCCTCACAAGGATTAGTTTCCAGATTCCTGACCATCCTTGTTGCCCTCCTCTGAATCTGTTCCAATTGGTCAGCATCCTTCTTGAAGTGTGGTATCCAGAATTGGACACAGTACTCCAAGATGAGGTCTATCCAGTGCTGAATATAGGGAACAAGCACCTATACTTCTGTTAACACAGCCTAAAAAGAGCATTTGCCTTTTTTGTAGCCACATCACACTGTTAGCTCATATTCAGCTTGTGATCTAAGACAATTCCAAGATTCTTCTTGCTTGTAGTTTTGCTGAGCCAGGTATCCCCCATCTTGTAACTGTGCAATTGGTTTATTTTTCTCAGGTGGAGTACTTTGCCCTTATTCCTGTTGAATTTTATTCTGTTGCTTTCAGCCCAGTGTTCCATTCTATCAAGGTCATTTTGAATTTTGTTTCTGTCTTTTAGGGTATTAGCTATTCGATTCAATTTAGTATCATCTGCAGCCAGTTGTGTATCTGCCTGACACTTTATCTATCCAGCCCACACCTAGTTAGTTTGGTAATCAGGGTATCATGGGGCACTTTGCCGAAAGCTTTGCTAAAGTCAAGATATACGATGTCTACGGTATTCCCTCTGTCATGAATGACCAAATTTTACAGAATTGGCCTCCCAACAGGTATCTGGTTAACTGAAATCTCCCATCACTACTACATCATGACCAAATTTTGCAGAATTTGCCTCCCAACAGGTATCTGGTTAACTGCAATCTCCCATCACTACTACATCATGTCTCTTTGACATCTTGTTTCAGTTATTCCTATCAAGTCATATTTGCCCTCCTCAACTAAAATTTCCAGTTCTTCTTGTTTGTTTCCCACACTCCTGGCATTTGTATATAGACACTGGAGATTGTGTGATTTGCGGCCTGTTTTTCTTTGTACATTTTAGGAATATTACTATTAATGTGAATGTTATTACTGATTCCCATTTGAACAGTTTGCTTCTGTTCCTCTTATTGTGAGTAAGGCTTCATCGATCTTTAACTCTGAGTTTGCGATTCCCTCCCCCTCCCAATTCAGTTTAAAGCCATGCTTGCGTCTCCTTCCCCCTTCCAATTCAGTTTAAAGCCCTCCTGATTAAGTTCTTCATGTTTTGGCCAAACACATTCTTCCCAGTTCTTGTTAGATGCAAGCCATCTCTTGCTAGCAATCCTTCTTTCAGGAAGCTTAGCCCATGTTCCCAAAAACCAAATCCCTCATGTCGACACCACTTTTGTAGCCAGTCATTCACTTGAAGTATTTTCCTTTCCTTTTCTATTCCTATTCCGAGTACTGGTAGGATGGATGAAAATACTATCTGGGCCCCAAGTCCTTGAGTTTCTTTCCTTGAACTTCAAAGTCTGACATGATTTCTTCAAAGCCTGAAGAGCTCCTCTTGGCTTTGTCACTTGTTGCCATGTAGACAAGAAGAAAGGGATATGTATTGTGGGTTTTATGAGTAATGGGAGTAGGGATCTGTATTGTGGGTTTTATGAGTAATGGGAGTCCTTCTGTCACATCCCTTATCTGACCTCCAGGGAGACAGCATATCTGGGGAAGTTCATGGAGCTTCCCAGCATATTTCAGTCTCAATTCCCACACAGTAAGGAGTCTCCCTAGTACAACTACTCTTCTCTCCTTTTTGTACGGTGCAGGTTCAGTCACTGCATTTTGCTGTGCTTCAGCCCTTCTCAGGTCCTCCTGTGGGGTCTCTTCTGCATGCTGTCCAGCAGACTCCTCTTCAAGAATCTGAAAGTGGTTTTGCATTTCCACTGGTGAAGAGTTTCTTCTCCTTCTTTTGCTCCTAATGGTGGTTCTTTTCCACGGTGGTTCCTCCACTATGTTTGTACTCTCCTCAGTACTCTCCTTCACTGCTTTGCTTTAATTTTCTGCCCATCTCCAATGCCCCCTGTGACAGCTGCTGACGATCAAGAGTTCTGGAAATGTATGCTTCATCTTCCCTTATAACCTTGAGTGCGGCTACTCACTACTCCAGTTCTCTCACTTTTTCTTCTAACAATAGCACTAGTTTGCACTTGTTACATGTGTATGCCGTGTTACACTCAGGAACAAGGACAAACATAAGCACAAACTTTGCACATTACTACAATAATGCATTGTCTCCAACCTCCATAATCCTTGCTAGCTTTTTGCTTTCAATGGATTGTTTATGAATGCCTGTCCCTTTTAATTTGTTACTTTGGCTCTAGCTGGGAGCGTTGACAAATATATAACTATATCCAAAATAAGTTTTAAAAAAATTGCTAGGGACCTCCAGCTTGATCCATTGTGTCCATCATCTTTCCAGACAAATGAATGTCAGTGACCTAGTAAATTCTCCGCTCACATTTTTAATGATGTTTTGCCGGTCCCATAAAAGTATAACCTAATCTCAATTTAAGAAACACAATCTCATGCCTATCTTGGTAACAGTCAGTGGCTTATTACCCGGGACCTCATTGCCATTTAAGCTGTCAAGATCAGGAGTAGCTGAATTCCACAGCAATGCAATCTATCCTCAGCCTCCTCTACAAAGCCGTATATCAGTTCACAGCTACCCATGCACACACCTTAGCTAATAGCTTTGCTGCATTCTGTAAATACTGCCAGTCTATCCATGTCCCCAAGTTGTTCATCACTCTTTCTTGTATCTTTTCTTGAATTCGCTGGTATGTCTGTGCCTCCAGCTGTAAGCTTTTGTTGTGGTTTTCCCACTGTGGAAAGGAGAGAAATAGTGTGAGATTACAATGTAAATATTTGTTGGAAATCCAAGCAAAAAAGATCAGCAGTGTGAGCAACTAATTTAAAAAAAACACTGAACCTCATAAATTAGACACTGTGATATGACAGGATTGCTTTGCAGACTTTTCCTGCTGCTGTAGAATCTTGAGTGCAATACAGGTAGACAGTAACCTTGAGAAGAACCATTATTTTCAGCAGCTTCCCCTTACCACTTGCTTATAACCCCCATTTTCCCCATGTCTGGATATCAGCAGAAGAGCTACTGAAAGAACAATTGCTCTTGAAAATGCTATCCTTGTTCTGAGAAGTCCTGTAACTCTGATAAAGCATTGCTCTTTGTAGGTATGCCAACTCTGGAATGAAACACCGTAAGTTTAAAAGACCTACTGTACCAAGGCTGGGGAAAATTCCTACCCAGGTACCTTAGATTGCTGCTGCCAGAATTGCATGACAGCACTCATAGGAACTATGCATAATTATGCATCATTGAACTCAATGGTGACTTATACTACAAGCAAACAACATACGAACATGGACCAACAATATCTATACGACATAATTTGGAGTTCAGAAACTTGGGTTTCACACAAAGATATTTTACATATATGAGGATTTTAAAAGAATTTAAAAGTGCTTTGGGCACTTCTGATGTAGAAGGATACAGATCTGAGAAGGCAATCCAGGCCCTTGCAGGAAGATTCCACTGCAAAATACAAGCAGCTCAGTTGTCAGAAGATTTAAAATGAGCTACTGCGGCTGGCTTCAACACGGAGCACTCTCATTACATGATTGGCAGAAACTCCTTGGAAAGAACCTTGTTACCAGGAAGAGTAACCTTGAAGGATCTAAATCTGACTTCAGATACCACCATAACTACAGAATGCTTTATCCAACGAGCAAATGCAACACATTCATTGTTAGCATTGACCTCTGCACATAACAGGGTGGGTGGAAAGGACTATATAGCTTGCTCTGGCCAAGGAGATGTGTCCTACCCTTTCAAAATAGAACAAGTACTTCTTAAGGGCCTCCCTCGCCTGTGCTTGCTGACTCTGGTTTACAATATCAGGATTCTCTTTGTACCGACTGCATTCGTAGTATTCGCTGCCGTGTGTCTTCCAGTCCCCCAGACACATCCAGCAGAAATCTGTAGGTGATAAGGATATTCGTTACTGTACAAGACATATGGGAAAACAAGAACCTGTGGATGAATAACAAGCAACTTGTCTCTCTGAGTAGCGAAAAGCCTGCTGTTCATGACTTCCTAACTACAAGTGCTTTAGTGGATCAGCACCTTAGGATTCTAACCGGATCAGTATTTCCTCCCAGCCCAACATGAAAAGACACCAGGTTGTTTGTACCCTTACCGTGTTTGCATTTGGAACATTGCTGGAGGTGAGAAGGGAGAAAACAAAAGAGAATGAAAGCGTTAACAAAGTGCAAGCAAAGATAAATGAAGAATACTATTTAAAGGATTTCTGATCTTGCTCACCATGTGATTACAACCACCATTCTTTTCGATACAGATATTGCACTTGGGACACTGAGAAGAAAACAGAGAGCATATTAGATTCAACAATGGACAGCTCCTCATCATTTTCTGTCTTGCACCAGTTCTTTTATGTCTCTGTTCATTATGTTTCAGCCTTCCTCTGGTCTGACTCGGTGCAAGGGGGCATTGGGCTCCCACTTCATGTTATGTAGTTCCTCATTATTATACTTTCTATTTAATATTTCTTAATTTGTTTTTCTTTTTGTCCCGTTTTCACATTTGTCTCCAACATCACAATCCAAATCTTGCTTCCTTTCTTCCATTTTTCATACTGCTCATGCTTCGCATCCATGTATATACAGTTTTGTAGAATGCTTTATTAGTGTCTTGCTGACCAATGGGAGGGTAGGTCCTACTGGGTGTGGAGGACATTGACAACCATAGTCTCGCTGCACACTGAGCTCTACAGAGGACACCTACCAAAGAACTATGACTCCCAGAGTGGTGACATTCTCTCTCTTATACTAGCATAATTCTGGTCAATAAAGAATTATTTTACACTAGTTTTTTAAAAAAATATTGTGCTATTTCATTAGCTTTTTTAAAAACGAAAGTATTTTGACTCTACCACTTTCTTTGAATTTTGTATATGTCTTTCTTGTAGGTACTGATTTTCAAAGATAAAGATATGTTAATCAAAAATATGATTGCACTTCTAAGATAGAGTTTATTTCAGTGTGAGTGTTTGTGCAGGGTGTGTGCCTGAGGAACTGGGTTTAACCAACAAAAGCTTATTTATTCATTTGTTCCTCTTTTTATTCTCCCCCCCCCCCAAATAGTGGCAGAGCCATTACTCTGGGCAGCACATCACAACACAATACAAACAATCTCAATAACTTTGCGAAAGCTTTCATGGCCAGGATCTAATGGTTGTTGTGGGTTTTCCGGGCTCTTTGGGCATGTTCTGAAGGTTGTTCTTCCTAACGTTTCGCCAGTCTCTGTGGCCGGCATCTTCAGAGGACAGACCTCTGTGCTCTGGTGTAGTTTGCTTGGGAGCGGAGTATTTATGCCTGTGAGATAGGCTTTTGTCCTTTTCTGGAGGCGGGTGATTAGTGTGTCTTGTCATGGGTGTATTGTTGTGATAAGGAGGAGAGATTATTTGTCACTGTGATTGATGGGTGTCATTAGCTGGTCAGGATAGGTTCATATGCAAAAAACAAAAACATCAATCCATTGGCAAGATTACTCTGGGGTAAGGTCTTAAAAGGCTTGTGAGAAAAGCCAGGTTTAAACTTGTCTCCCAAAACCAAGGAGGGGTGGGGCTTATCGTACCTTGGGTGGGAATGAGTTCCAAAGTGATGCAGCAACCCAGTACATAAGGTGTGGGTGGAACAGTAGACATTTTGAGGGAGATGTGCTCAGACAGGTAGAAAGGTCCTAAATCTAAATTAGTTAGTCTTAAAAGTCCTACAATGCTTTTGTTTCTCTTTTGCTTTTTTCTTTTTTTGGTAGCTACTGGTGAGTAATGATTAGCAGGATGAGATACAGAAAAGAATGAAACACAGGGCATCAGATACTGGATAAATGGCCCAAAGGATTATATCTTCTATTTATAATCTAAATACAGGCTTGCAAAGGAAGAACTTGAATGAAGTTTGAAAGTATAAAAATGTATCTTGTCACACTTCACACACATCTCTCTTTCAAATTTCAAAATGAACAAAATAAGAAAGGAAGTTTCTCCAAAACACACAAACACTTACATCTTTAGTGTGAGCGCTGATGTAGTTAGCTGTTTCAGAGTCATCCGCACACTTAGTGAGCCATTTTCGGATGGTGGCACAATCTGTAGGAGCGTGGTACATCTGCCGACACTTGAAACTTAAGCAAAGAGAAGGGTACGTCTATTTCCGAGAAGGTCTATGGCATGAAACCAAATTACTGTTTGTAAAGCAGGGGAGACCTCCTCTTCTGTTAAGAGCTGTGTTCTTTGGGGAGACTTTGGGTGAGATATACCGTTTCCCCGAAAATAAGACTTAACCTGAAAATAAGCTCTAGTATGATTTTTCTGGATGCTAGTAATGTAAGTCCTACCCCAAAAATAAGCCCCAGTTAAGCAAAACCCCCCCCTCCACCATTGTGCAGCAACCAGACGATGACATGACTGCATTTGAATAAATGTAAGACTGTTGTCCATGAAAAAAAATCCCCTGAAAATAAGCCCTAATGCATTTTTGCAGCAAAATTAATATAAGACCCTGTCTTATTTTCGGGGAAACACGGTATTATCCCACATAGAAGCTGAAGTTCATTTTTATTTATTTAAAATATTTGTACCCCGCCTTTCTCCTTAAGAAGGACCCAAGGTGGCCTGCATCATTAAAAGACAAGATACAAATACTAATAGTTAGCTCTGTACACTAAATTTAGTATCCTGAACTTGCACTTCAAAAATGACTGACCTCAGGATATTTTTCTTACATGAAGAGCAATTTATAAATGTAGTAAATAAATAAACCAAGCATGTTTTTAGCCCCCATGTAAACAAAAGCTTGAAAAAAGATGTAAGCAATGTGATCTTTGAAGTCAGGGATAGAACTGAGCAGAATTTCTAGGAGTCACAAGCATAAGCAAAGTGTACTGCTTATATACCGCCTCATAGTGTATGAAGCACTTTTTGGGCAGTTTACCATTTATTTATGCAGGGTACACATTTCCCGCCACCCCAGCAAACTGGGTACTCAATTTACCAAGTTCGACAGGATGGAAGGCTAAGTGAACCTCGAGCCGGCTACCTGGGATTGAACCTGGATCATGAGCAGCTTTGGCTGCAGTACTGTAGTTTAACCACTGCACCACAAGACTCTGTTCCCTCCCTGTCCTTATGAAATAGGGCAGGGGATCAGATTTATGCAAAAGTCTTAAAGATGAGAACATTTGGTTCAGCTTGGTGCAGAGTTTTCATTTTTCTTACCTAGTACATACATCTTGACCCACTTTTTACTTTGTGTTGCAGAAAGGTAGTGTAGTCTTCTCCAATCACCTTATGAAAACCTCTTTTCCCTCCCATGTCTTATCCCACTGAAAGTGGAACACACAGTTCGGAGTAGTGAAGCCAGATGAGGGCTGCTTGATTGTGTCTGGTCATTGTTACCTCCAGATAGCTTGTTTACAGGATTTTTCTGGTAGCAAATCTTTCGTGTGTCTGTTTACTTCTTGTAATTGATACTTTATAATACATTAAATAAAGCCACGCGTCTGTCTCGCAGCCAGACAGTTATGGCAGAATGGTTTGCAATCTTTTTTTAACTACAAGAAAAGATCCAAGAATAAGTCATCTAACACGGGCAATTCTGAACTCTCTAAAATTATACTTCCATCTACTTGCTTGGACTGGTTTGGACTTTGAGCAGCTCTCTTCAAGCCTTCCTCTGGGATGTTCTAGCCACTTCCTAGTTTCTGTTTTCCCCAACCCAATATATAGATTTACATCCTTACCAGAAAACTTCATTGCAGCGATTGCACTGCACTCTGCGGGCTTTGGGCTCCTGTACCTTTATGACCATAGGGCAGTCTGCACCGGGACAAAGCTGAAGCTGGAAATGGCTCTGTGAAGGAAAGCACCAATGGCTGCATGAGAACCTGATTCAGAAAAGGGATGAGGTGAGGTGGGGTCGAGGAGCAATTATTTCCAGTTTCCCATGTGAGGAAAAATCCATCCTAGTACAGTGGTACCCCGCTAGACGCTTACCCCGCATGACGTCAAAATCGCTTAACGATGACTTTTTTGCAATCACTATTGCGATTGCAAAATGATGGTTCCAATGGGGGAAATCCGCATTACGTTGATTAGGAGCCGGCTTTGCGAACTCTTTGTTCGCTATACGATTTTTCCGGTTCTGCAAAATGGCTTCCCTCCCTTTGCAAAATGGCTGCTTTCCGCAACCCTGCTTTGGAAGACAGCGATTTTTAACAGCTAATTGGCGGTTCTCTATGGGCAATCTCCGCTGGACGATGAGGTATTTCCCCACTGGAATGCATTGACCGGTTTTCAATGCATTCCAATGGTTTTTTTCCCGCTTGACGACGATTTTGCTTAACAGCGATTTTGCTGGAAAGGATTATCGTCGTCAAGCAGGGCACCACTGTATAGATGCAATCAGAGTGATGGGAACCTAATATAGGTCTTTAGAATTTCTGTCTAGGGTAATCTGTATATGTCTCTCCCTGTAGATTCCCCCCCAGGAAAATAAAAATAAAAGTTTTAATAAGATCAATGTTATCATCTTTACTCCCCTTTCTTCAAAGAATAACTGGCTTTATGGTTGGAATCTCTTGGTATACTGAAGAATGAATGAATGAATTTTCTGTTGCCTGCGATGCTCTAGTAAGTTGACTATCTTTTTCATGAAATAAGCTAAATTATCAAAAGAAACACATTTATCAAAAAGGTCCTGGATATGGAAAGTATGAAGAGGAACACAGCAACATGGTCAGTGAGCCAAATCCAAGTCGGGTGGGTAATACAATTAGTGGGCTATCAATATACTGTATTTAAAAAGCAAAAAACACGACCAAGATTTCCAGTTCTTAGGACACTTCATCACATTGGGCATTGCAGAGCTTCAGTTGGGTGGGGCTGTCCATTTCTTCCCCCACCCCATGTTTTGCCACGACTATTCTGATGAAGCCATGAGGTCTCTAAAATTCATCTTCCTATGATATTTCAAGGGTTCATATTATCCAACACTGATTTTAGTTACAAATACATCTTTGAAGAGGACACATTCCTTTTTTCCTTACATTTCTAGCACGACAATTTCCCAAGAAGTAGGTTTTTTAAAAATTCATTGAAAGTATGAATATTCACAGATATTTTGTGCATTTCTGTAACATTGAATAGACACAGTCTTAAGGCTAAACAACAACCAATACCTCAATGTAGTCCCTGAAGAGGTAGCGTCTGTATTTGTCTTTCAGCTCCTCACTAGGTAGCAATGGAAACACAAAATCTTCTGGGGTCCGGAGTAGACAATCCTGAGCCATGCAGGAGATACCTAGGAAAAAGAAAGCCAGAAAAGGTACTGCATGTGAATGAGATCCAATCGATACTATCAAAGTTTATAGTTTTATAAAGCAGAGACATCTGGTTATCCATTTAAACAAACTATGACACTGTTCATTTGTAATTTATTATCCCTCAATAAAGGAAGCTACAGAGAAAATAGTAGATAATAGCCCATAATATGGAAGGCTGGCAGTATATGTTTAGGAAAAAAACTAGCAAGCCACAGGGAGGGCTGCATAGGACTGTCCCACAACTCAAGGGAAGACAGGAAGCAATCAAAATAAATCAGATATTAATACACAGCAAAGCCTTTCTGTTAGATTAACCACTCCTGTGTTCCCAATAAAAGGTATGGGGGTATTATGAATGAAAGTGAAAGGGAAGAGATGCTTGGAAGAGGTGTCAATATCCCAGAATTATTCTAAGTAATATTTTGCTTTTTTGCTCACCAACTCCAACTCCATCCTTGACGAGTACTGTACAGTGCTGCTCCCAACAACTGCGGCAGAACTGGTGCTGACAAGCCAGCGACAGTAAGTTTTCCTTTCGGATAAACTGCATACATACCGCACAGTGTTGGGAGGAATGTACCAGGGCCTGAAATTGGTACGGGTGAGGAAAAGAGAGAGAGAAAAGGAAGTTACTAACAGGAACATGATTCACAGTAGCTCAGCCAGGCAAAAGCATTATAATAAGATGGTAACGTTTCGGAAGGAGAAATCAGCACAGAATGCACAGCACTGTTGCTTTAGATACTCTTGACCAGGAGAGGGTCAAATATTTCAACAGTTTTGCTACTTCTGTTTATATTTCACCTCCCCTTGATAGGGTTCCTGAGAAAGTACCAGTGAGGAAAGTATCGTGTCAGTGGAACTTCCAACAAGAATTTGAAAATTAATTCCTGAATTCTATAATTTACAGTAGACAAGAGATCATGCAGCCTGTGGGCTGTATACAGTCCCCAAAGCCCTCTGAAAGGAAAGAGCCCTTTTTGTATAATAAAGAAAACACTGTTAAACTGAATGGCCATTTATCTGGAGAGTATAATCCATCTTTAAAAAAAGAGTCAGCAACCTACAATAGTCTATGAAGCATTTTTTTTGGTCTTCTGCACAAAACTTCCAACACCTGAGTATAACTTTTCCCATTTTATGACCCCACAGTGCAAAGTGCAACCCGTAACAAGCTTTGAGGGGGAGGAGGGTTTACAGGTGTTGTCCTATATGCCCAGTTTAGCTCCCTCTGAGTTTTTAAACAACTTAAATGGTTGTTTTAGAAACATAAAGTGAGCAGTCAGTTTTTTAAAAGCCTAGAACAGACCATGGACTGAATTTGGTTTTACAGGGCAAATAACAACACACACACACACACACAAACTAGGCCCCTGGGATGCATGAATTGTATTTTTGAAGCAGAAACTTTGTGTACATGTGCGTGCATGGTTGCTGAGAGCTTGGGGAGTCAAGGGACAGGAGAGGCACAGGGGCCTGCTCTGGTGCACACTGTGCCAGCTGCCTTCTGGAAGAAGGTATGACCCATACACATTATTTTAACTAACATCACCCTCATCTTTTTTTATCAACATCTGGGAAGTGACTTTTAAAATACAGAAATACCCTTCTGGTACCATTCAGTTTTGTTTAGATTGGTCAGTGCAACCACTGGAGGAACTGTGAGAGAAAATGGTTCTTGGATCTTGCCCATCTAGATTTACATTAATAGCATGTGTTATATGCCTCAATACTTCATAATAATAATATACAACATCCTTTACGTTGTTCAGGTTACTTCTCTTCCTATATTTATATTTTAATACCTTTGTCCCAGAAGTGGCACTTATTTAGTTTAGACTTTTAGAGGCAGTAGAATTAACAAAACTGACATAAAATAAAAACGGACTTCTATACAGTACTTAAAAGCTGTTGGCATCTGACACATCACTATACTCATTCATTACAAGCCCTGCACTATAAACTGAAATATGTAGGTCACGATTAGTATTGACATTAGCACAAGTTGAGTTTTTAATCTGCCAGTGGCAAAAGCAAAAGCTGTTCTTCCAATAAGAGGTCTCGGGTTTGTTGCCCTTACTTTATTACACCCACACTGCAGAGTATCAAGTAGAAACTGGACCAGCCGCTGTAGGAACTTTATCTTCCAGGTCCAAATACCAGCCACTCTAAGAAGATATGTGGAAGTGACCCACTTTTTGCGAAGGACAACCAGACAGTATGACTAAATGGGTTGTGCAGGATTATAGGCTGAATCTGACACTGGCTGCTGCAGGAAATAAACAGCTACAGAAATGTCAGGTGTCAAGCTTGAATGGTGCAGACAGGAGAAACAATAGCAAGGTGTGCATCTTGATGGCCTGCACTAAGCAGCTGGCTATTGGGGACAGACAAAGAAAATGTCTCCATCAGGTACAGGATAAGAGCTAGTATGGAAGGGGTGGGAGAGGTGCATCTGTCTTTTGAATATTTTGGTGAAAACTGCTGCAAGATGATTTGTAATAGTATGGGGCCGATCCAGGTGCCAGAACATTAAGAGCACTTGATAAAGAGATTGCAGGGAAGCAAGAATGGCACTGAGCTCAGGTTGTCGTCTGTAATAAAGTTTAAAACAGCTCTTCCAACTTGCAGATTTCATTCAGTGCATTTACAAAGGTGCCCTTTAAATACAAAGCATTCCTGAACCCTTGATATATAAAATCTCAGCTTCATTTGAACTACATATTATATCTATAATCAAAATCTTTCCTAGCTTATTTTTCATGCCTATTTGTCTAAGCCCTTATTCCCATCATTATAAATTTTCTAAATCCATCTTTCCTTTCTATTTGAAAGGTATACGGTAGTTTCATTATCCATCTAGTAACCACTGGCCATGCTGGCTAGGTATAATGAGACTTGTAATCCAACACATCAGGAGGACACCAGGTTGCATAAAGCAACTTTCATGAATCACAGCCGATGGTGAGATTATGAGAATGATTTTCATAGTTGCTAATTTCAGAGAACAGTTCCTTTAACTAAGAAAAATATTACCTTTAAAATAGTGATCCTGGCCACCACTGCTATAAACATTAGCAGCTGGTTCAAGTCTGCCTGCAGTGACGAGGGCGTATGCTTGCTTTCCGTAGCTAATGTTCACTCAAAACCTCTGACCAAACCAAGAAATCCAAGCCAATGTCGAGGTCAGGCTCTTGGCCAAAATGACATTATTGGCTCCTCAAGAGTTCACGTCCCAGACAGAGAGAAGGTTTACTAAATTAAGAGTCAGCAGAAAGCAGACTAGGAGGGGCAAAGGAATTGGCCTTCAAAGGATTATAGAAAGCTTTTTACTGCCACACATGCCAGCCAGCCAGTTACTTACATGCTTGGATGAGGCAGGCTGAACTCGTGCTTCTACTAGCAACTGAACAGAATTGGACTTGTGCCTAGAAAGAAGAGGTAAAACTCTGGATCAACACTGAGCTTTGACTGCATCAAAATGCAACTGTAGACTTTAGCAGGAATTGTGATCGTATTTAGCTCCATAATTACGAAAAAGGAAGGTCAGTATAATATTCAGCTTGCAACTGAAATATAATGGGAGGGAAGGAAGGAGGGAGGGAGGGGAGGGAGAAAGGAAGGAAGGAAGTTGTTGAATGGTTTAACAAGTTTTATACACAGGGAAACTATCAAGACTGGCTTCACATTTTTACCACTTGTTTCAGATCTTATTTATTTATCTGTTTTATTTATTTGATTTATATACCACCACTCTGGCCAGTTTGCATTTTGTGTGGTAGGATTCACTAGGGGCATTTTACAAATATGCCAACAAAAGTTATGGAATGCAAAACTACAGGAACTCCCTGTCCACCTCTGTCATTTATGATCTAAAGATTTTATAAAGGTTTCCAGTCTGACAACTTGGGTGCAATTCTTTCTTTTAACAAGTGTCCAGGCAAAGAAAGGATTATTCATAGGCCTGAGACATGGGCAGTGTGAGCAAAGGGATAAGGAGTTCTCAGCAAAACATAGAATAGAGCTTCAAAGATACCTTTGCAAGATGTAAATTTTAAAAATGCCCTTTTACATTTGCTTTTGACAAGAAAGAACAAGAGGCAAGCTGCAAACATGTACCGATTGAATACATGCCTACCTTTCCAAAATTTCTGAAATTTGCCAGTGGAAGCTAACTAGTATGAGTTTAGCAACTGCATGAGACACCTAAAGAGAAAAAAAGAACAAAATAAACAACATGATGAACACAACATTTCTAGAGCACAATATTTCTAGAGCACAAGGCAAACACATAACTGGGAATGCTTAATGGAATCCTTGAGGAAAAAAAAATCTCTACCTATAAAGCATTTCTCCATTATCCCCCATGTTATTTAGTTTTCTACTTGAGTGTGACAATTGACAATTAGAGCATCAAAGCCCAGGGCTGTGTATGATCGGCTCTAGCTTGTTAGGTTCAGAAATACATTAAAACCCAAGGTTTACAGTCAGAAAAGGGAAAGGTAATAAAAAAGTGTATGGGCATATTTTCTTTTAAGTGGAATCTAACATTAAGTGGGGAGAGCAGAACAATGAAATTCCTCTGTGCAAAACCCAACAAGAGCTACAACTGGTGACTACAATTGTACACTACATACAAGATTTGGGCAAAGAAATCCTAAATTCAAATCTCTACTCAGCCATGAAGTTTGTTGAGGGACTTTAGGCTAGCTGTTAACTCAAGTTGCCTTGACTTGTTGTGGGAAACAGGAATATAAACCACCAGCTCCTGCACAAATGTAAAGGAGTTTAAACTATTTTTTTTTTAATTTTAAACGCATCCCATCTGTGAGTTTTAGAATGTTTTCAGTACTGACAATGGTGTATAGTTAAGACAAATAGGTTTTATATAAACTGCCGAAATCAAAATGTGAAGAAAGTGTGTGCCCATTTTGAAAGCTGTTCACATTCCTTTGTGAATTCTGGATCAAATGACAAGAAAACTATGACTAAACATTAGGAGGAATTTCCTGTTGAGAAGAGCAGTTTGAGAGTGACTGCAGAAGGTGATGGATTCTCCTTCATTGTAGATTTTTCAACAGAAGCCGGCTGTCAGGCATTCTTTACTTGAGGATTTGGTACACTGGCAGGGGATTGGACAAGAAAACCCTAAGAGTCCCTTCCAACCTTTCCAGTAATTCTAGGAGTGAGAGAGCATAGAAAAAGAAGAGGGTATAAATTTTCCTGAACTGATCACCAGAAGTACCTCCTATCCATGCAAGAGTTTTAACACCTTTAGCCGAACTGCCTTTCTGCAAGTAAAAAAGCTTCGACTTGGGGTTGGGAACATGAATCAAAGGCCAAAAAGAAAAGAAATTTCAGCACCTGTGCTCAACTACACAGCCCATACTTCATCAAGTTAACACACAGGACTCCTGAATACAGCCATGTTTGGGGTGTTGGGGAGTTCCAAGCTGTGCTTTTTATTGTTTAAAGTATACTGTGAAGAGATTTAATTCAAAGACCTCTTCTCCTAAATACAACCAAACACAAAAGCTTCCCAGTCACCACACATCTTGCATAGAAGACTCTTCTAACAGTTTAGCCCTGTGGTAGCATCCATTGGCGTCTACCTTTACTCAGCTCTTAAACATCATCACGAATTAAATCTAATATAGCACTTAACTATATTTTAAAACTCAGTTTGGTCTCTAAAATTCTTGTTTACCTTTTCCAGCAACCAAAGGAACATCAACTCTCTATTCGGTGGGCCCACGTCCTGTCTCACTTCTCTCTTGTCCATCGGGGAATACCAAAGGGGACACATATAGAATTGCTTGTCCGGAGCAAAAGGAACTGCTCTTACCCCCGCAGCTACTTACTACATACTCAAAGCCACAGTACATATATATCTCCAGGGTGAAATACCCCTGCAGCAACTGTCCATCTTTCCAAAAGTGTCAAACAGTAGGTAAAATTTTAACATGTGCTACAGGATTCTCTGGAAAACACAATAATGCTGGGAAAGGAGGAAGGCAGCAGGAAAAGAGGAAGACCAAATATGAGATGGATTGACTCCCTAAAGGAACCACAGGCTTGAGTCTGTAAAAGGTGAGCAGGGTTGTTGAGGACAGGACATTTTGGAGGTCGCTCATTCATAGGGTCACCATAAGTAGGAGATAACTTGATAGCACATAACAGCAACTACCCTCCATGCAGGATTTTTAATGCCCCAATGAGAAAGTTCAACCTCACATATCAGGAGTCATGAAAAAGGATTTGAATGCCACCATCATAACTATTTTTACAGCAAATGATTTCAGTGTGGAATGTTTCAGTTTGGGCACTTGATTGCCAATGCACTAGATTAGAGAAATTCATAAAGAAGCATGCAGGATTTGTAAGGAAAACATGCCCTAACAGCAGATGCCAGGCACTTTATTAACTGCTTACTAAATCAGACTGCAGACTGCAAGGAGATCACTGGTTAAATCTTAGCACAACTTGTTCTTTGCAATTAATCTCTGTGCTAGCCTTAACCCAACAGGTCTCTTATGCACAATCTCTTAACAGTGATGATAAGCATGATGCAAACAGCAAGAAAGGCAGAATTTTCTTAGCTTAACAGGGAGACAGCAAGTCCCAGCACATAAATACTATACTGTATTTAGTTCTTGTTAAACTTCTCTGTTAGGTTTAGAGTAATAACTTCAGAAACTTGGGATTAAAATACAAGACCATATGGACACACTTTCACACCAACTCATATAACCCACACTGAGACTCCAATGCATTTTCAAATTACAGATTTTAGCCTCGAACCTTGAGTGCAAAACTCAGCGTACCCAAGGCTGCTCTATGGTGCAAGGCTCTCTGCTACCCCTTCAGCTATCTCTTAACACCTCAGAGGCATTTCTGTGCACCCTTTCTGGAACTCAGCAGCTTAAGTGCCATGTGGCTTCTGCTAACTCTCCTTCCCCCATCAACCTGCAGAGGACATCACTGGAGTTCTCTCATCTGCTAAGGAATGCCAGAGAACAGTGCAGGAAAGCAACTGCGGGAGGAAACATTTCTTTGGAAGCAAACCAGTCAGATTCAACTGCCAAGAACGCAGGCATAAGATCAGCCACTGAGCATTATGCAAAAACAACCAAAAGTTCTGTGGCGTTAAAAAAAAGAAAAGAAACCAACAGGCAGCAGGAGTCAAAAGTTTATTTCCTCAGAGTCAGTCATAACAGAAAGAGACAAGCCCCAGGCAGCTGAACTTGAAAAAAGTAGGAATTGAGCTAAGATTTTGAGCAAGCTCTTTTGACTCACCGCTCCCACCCTTAACATGTAAATAGTTCTCCCACCCCTCATTCCTTCTCCCTCTTTGCAATTAATAGTTCTCAAGGTCCAATTGGTGTTTTCAAAGCAGCAGGGCAACAAATGGCATAGCCCCCAAAGCAAGGCAGCATGAAAGAAGCCCTTCGGCATTTTCTTTCCCAGCTCTCTTTATTCCAAAGCACATATCCAACATCTTGAAGATTAAACCAGTGTTTCAGAAATAGAAGTTAATGATGACCATCATGGAACAAAAAGCCTACCAGTCTTATACTGTACTTACTTCACTGGAGATGATAGGCAAACATCAGCTACATCGGGTGTAAACAAGTCGCAATGTACAATTTCACTCTTACTTAAATTGTAATACTGTATAGCCCTGATGTGGCCCTCATTGTTACAGAGCTCCTAGGCTGAAGACTTTAGATGGACTTTTGTGAAGCAACAGGGCAGTCTGGTTGGATGCCTCTTTTCTAATTTCGTTGGCAGCCTGCTAAACATGCCTGCTGTGGTCGTTAGCTACGCTTTGCAATCATCATTGCTCATTTTATAGAAGCAGCAAGACAAAACTCTTAGAAACAGTAACAAACTATTTAGATAACTTTGTGTTGTTTCCCCCACCGCTACTCACCCCATACATTTTAAGAATCAGCAGCTTAAGATACCTGCAAATTTATAGAAATGGCAACCTTCAGGGGAACTCCTAATCAAAATGAAGCAGAATATATTTTAAATATCCTCTATGCATTTGTTCATTTCTCCAGTTCAGGGAGGAGGGAGTGAGAGAAGTAACTTTTCTTCAAATATAGCCAAGTGCAAGTGCATAATATGTGGCACTTCCACTGAAGAGGCTCAGGTTCTTCCTGCTAGCACTCTATTCAATTTTGCCAAAGAATGAGACCAGGCATTCTGGTGCTTTGCCATGGAGGGCGTTTAATTTTACTTAATGCAAGGTGATACATCATGCCAAATTCCAAGCCTGAGGCATTAAGATGGGACAGATCCCTTTCAAACTTCAGTGGGATAACTGCTTGGCTTAGGGAAGGCAAGCTTGATCCCAACCTTAAAACAACATTCTCTGGTCTACAAGGGCTCCCTCGATTTCTGATTAAAGTGACTAAATGTTTAATTTTTCTTCTAAAGAAAAGTAGGAATGAGAATGTTTCATATACACTGTGGCACACTATACACTCTGTATCTCTCACCTATACATTCTTGAAACTCAAAATATCACTCTCCATCTGTATTTTGAAGAAGTAATTTGGGGAAATACACTTCACTGGCCCCCACCACAGAGCTGATAGATTTGTACTGGATATATATACTATGTATTCCATACTTCTGAATTCTGTATTTTTAGTTGATGTTTGTACCAAGTCATGCAGACAGGATGATATCTACTTTATTACAGAGCTTGACTATCTATGGTGAGTGCATAACAAAATGTTTTTTACTCCAAATTGGCATCTAGAGACCAGAGCAACTCTGGAGACAGGTAGGAATTTTGCTACACCTTACAAGAACTTGTATAGTATAATGGCTATAAAAATAATCAGCTAATTAGAAAGTGTTCAAGTCTCACTTCTAGCTTACTGGATGCCTTAAGCAGTTCATCACCACTCAATCATAAAGCACCCACTCATCTTCATATACTGTACTGTATAACATAGGACAGCTGTCTTGTGGCTATATCCACTTATGTATAACATAAGGATAATAATAATGAGATACTTTTCAAATTTGCTTGTAATGTCTCTCCTCCAGCCCTGACTGAACACTAATTTAACTTAACAAATTAAGAGCACTCAGCCAAGTTAGGACTAACAAAGAACCAATTTCCTAATGTAAAACACTAAAACTACTGACCTAAAAGCATTCAGACAAGAACACCACAATTGCTTTGATGACCATAATCAGAGGTGACACAGAGGAAACTCAACGCATGGCAAATTGGTTACTAGAACGAAATTATGACTATCAAGAGGATAAATGCTAAGCATATACCAGGACACTAGAGATGGGCACAAATTGCGTGGCACCACAGGTGCAGTGTGTTCCCTTGCCACACCCCTGGCCTGATCCCCCATTCACCAACCAGCATCCGCTACCCATGCCTTCTTTCTTGTGTAACTGTCCAGTCACAGCAGGAATGTGTTCTTCCCTCCTCTGGCACTTGCCCACCCAGATAAGGAGGCCAGACAGAGATGCCTGCAGCATAACTGTCGGAGAATGCAGAGGAGGGAAGCAAAAACTCCTGCTGTGACTGGACAGTCATGCAACGAGGAGGCGAGCAGCACACACTGGCTGGTGAGTGGGGAGCCAGCTGTGGGGAGAGGGAAAAGAACATGCGGCACCTGTGGTCTCTCGCCAACTTGAGACGACCCAGCACAAAGCAATTTGTGCCATCTCTACAGGAGATAAGAATGCTGGGTTCCATTGTTCTTTAAAGAAACACCTGATGAGTTTAGTATGGCAAAGAATAGGACTGTACGTCACCATTGTGCTTTAACAACATGTCAGCAATGTTATATTCAGGACATGGAAGATGAAGACATGCAAATATTAACTGCAAATATTAGTTATGTATCTTCCCACAAATCAGCACAGCCAGAAGCTAAGTTGGAAAACAATTTTAGCTTGGCAAACGTAAGGTCAAATTTCAAGTACTGATAAAATCATGAGATGAGAAAGATGCAACAAATCTCTTCTGTACATTACATTCTTGATGATGAAAGATGCAGTTGCTGATTGATTTAAAGTTCATAACAGGTCATGATTTTGTGTGATGATTATGTCAGATACTGTAACCAAAGTGCCAAAGGCTGGCATCAGCCTACATACCGTGTTTCCCAGAAAATAAGACAGGGTCTTATATTAATTTTTGCTCCAAAAATGCATTAGGGCTTATTTTCGGGGGATGTTTTATTTCTTTTCATGTACAACATTCTACATTTATTCAAATATAGTCATCATATCATCTTCTGGATACTGCACAATGGTTGAGGGTGGGGTATCACTTAACTGGAGCTTATTTTTGGGATAGGGCTTATATTACGAGCATCCTGAAAACTCATACTAGGGCTTATTTTCAGGTTAGGTCTTATTTTCGGGGAAACAGGGTAGAAACTGCACTTTTCTCTCAACATTTGGAAAGGGGATTTCAATATTATCTAGTACCTATACAGTATTAGCCAAATACTTTGAGATTATTGCTCTTTCCAGTTCAGTGTGTACAGAAATAGTCTCCCCCTCCCCACTAGAACAATTAGTCATTGGCAAAACAAGAGAAAAGAGCGCCTATTGCTAAACAAACCACTTTTCAAGGTAATAACAGGGTTTAGGAGTGCTGATGTACTTCTCTTGAAGCCTCTGATTATTATGTATCCAAAATGACAACACAACGTCTAATTGCCAGTCTGGAAGTTTTAGTGTTTCTTGTTTCTCTGTACTCATTTGGGATCTATTTTAGCTGACAGTTATTTGCCTAGCTTCTTTCTCCTCACCAGAGTAAAATGCTTAAAGAAGTAAGTTGCCAACTATGACACAACCAAGAATTATAAATGCTTCTGTATTCCAAATCAACATCTTTAACAACCAAGTTTTTAAAAAATCAAATCATTTTAAAAAAAATCAAATTAGGCTTCACTTACATAATTAAGACATTGTAAAAGACTCTGCTCTTCAATCTGAGGCATAATTTCTGGGACCAATATACCTATTGCTATCTTCAGACCCACAAGTTCCTTTCCTTTATAGTCTCCTTCAGATCTCCTCTAGCAGCATCACCATGAAACATGAAACATGTGAGAGCTCGGCTCAAAATAATTTCTAAGGCCAGGCAGAAGCACCACGGGAAAAAGTGGCATCTTTAACCTTCAGGCTGCTTTACACAGATTCCCAAATGAATTTAAAGAGTGGCAGAAGTAAAATGCTTATAAAGAGGTAAGAATATTGATCTGCCAAAATTTATACCAGTTGCAATTTTGCATTTTGTACTGGGGAGTTGGTAGTATTTTAGAAATATGGTAAATATTGGAGAAAGAATAAGTGATTGCTGAAAGGGTGTTGTGGGAAGGGGAATTATTTCCAGAACACCAAAAGGAAAAAGGAAAAGAAAAATAACAGAAACCAGAAGAATGAAAAGGAACCAAAACCAGACATGGAAAAATCTACAGAAAAGTTCATATGAATTTAAGCCTTCCGTTGACAACATCTCAAAATATTTGGGGAAAAGATCCAGTGTTGAATCAGCAGACATTCTCTTGCAGAAGGAAACTTTCCTTTTGTCTCTTTCCTCTGTAGCTGCCTGACCCCGCACTCTGAAACGTGCCTCAGTTTTGCAGAGCAGAACTGGTGGGGCTGTCTCTCTCCCTTTTCTGCCTGGCAAGAGACTTGAAATGCACAATTGTCACTGAGGACTGGAAAGCTTTTTTAAAAAAAAATAAGTAAAAGGTTCTGTGTTCGAAAACAAGTAAATTCGTAAATTGAGAATATAAAGGCATTTTTGTTGCCTATATATTAAAGAACTTTTTACCAAGGAAGAGAAGACATGTGAAAAGGGGGCATATACAAAAATGCCACACATAACCCTAGTATACCAATGGTTTTAGAACCACAGCCGCCCCAGATTGACAGCACTTTTGATCAATGTTCACTTAAGAGCTCTAATGGTAAACCAAGTCATTCTGTTTCGTTGTGCCCATTTTGTAGCCTTTAAAAGTACGTTTTCATGAAATGCCACAGCATGGCTCACCTTTAATGCAGAGGCCAAGTTGACCATGTGTTCATTCAGAGTGCTCTCCGACTCCTTGTAAGTCAGGCAGGTGAACTGATACTCCTCAGGATCAAAGGCATCCGCTCCCTGTTGTTCCACGTCATTTGCTACCCCCACATAGTAATCCTCAATGTCCCCGGGATCTTCCTCCTCTTCCTCTTCATCACAGTTTGGATCATAGTCCTCTTCATTGCTGTCAGAGCCCTGGCTGTTCATGTCCACAGACATCTTAGTGCTCTGCCAAACTGCAGAGGAAGAACACAATCTCTGTTTCTTTTTCCACCTCACTGTTGCTCCTTTGACTTCATCTGACGTTTCTGCCTCCTAAATTTGGGGTGAGATGGAGAGGAACAAAAAAAGGGAAACAGAAAAATACATTTGATTGTTTTGTCTGGGGTATGTGTAAAAGTCTGTCAATAACATAGCTTTTACTGGGGGTCCACCTTAACATACACTCTGAACCTCTTTTTGTAAGAGGCCAAACACCAGCCTATTATTCTTTCATCAAGATGACTTAAGGATCCATGTTCAGATTTTGGTTCAGTTATGAACTGCACTCTTTGCAAAGTAATACACAAGTCTTTGTCCCCTGTCCTGATACACTTTAGGCCAACTCACAGGGCTGCCATGGTCAATTTAAATTAAAGGAAAACAGGAAATACATTCTGAAAAATATAATCTGAAAAGTGTTATTAAAATACGCATGGGCTAAAATGGCATCCCAATCTTCACTTTTCTGCTTTACTTGGGCTACCTTGTACTTCGCATTCTCCCTTTATTTACATTTGCTTCCCAGAAAAATCATAGTCAACCTACAAAAATGAAATGCAATACACCACACTATATCCCCATTATGCTGAACTAAACTTCAATGCAATCATTCTAATTCAACTCATTCCAAGGTTCAGAAAGGAAGCAGAAAAAAAGAATCCTCTTGGTTTCCTTTTTTCACTCCTTCTCCACATCTTTGACTCAGGATGCTAAATATTCCTGGGACAGCCTTCACTTTTCTACCCATCATGCCACCCTGTTTTCTTGCCTTCAAAATTCACCTTTCTTCTTAGGCCTCTCTGAAGCACACCACACCTTTACCTTCTCTGGACTATTTGGTACAATCTGTCCTCTCCCAATTTTCTCACCTAGATAGTAATCTTTATTGGCAAGAACTGTTTGTATCTAAGAGCACAAAATGAGCCACACACAGGAGTAGTGACACCTCATATCTTCAAAGTATGTAACTCAAATTCTCATGACCCTTAAGAGAAACATCTTTAAAGAAAGAGTACCCCCTGCTTCACAACTGGGGAACAAACTATTTGAAGCAACACTTGGATGTCAAAAATTGAGAAATATATTTTTATAGACCCAATTAGAAGCCAGAGACTGAAAGACAAGCAAATCAAGAGCTATCACATGAACATATCCAATATTCCATACTAGGAGAGTAAGAAATTCTTAGTAAGCTGACTTATTCAGTACCTAGTTTGGCTCCTAAAATCATGCATTATAATTTACAGTTTTAGCTTGCTGATTATTTTAAATCATTTATGCAAAGTCAGCTGCTGTAGAAAATGTAACCCAAATTTCTTAACAGTAAATCAGGGTTTTTATTTAGCAGCAAACCAAAGTTATATTGCCTCTCTACTCATTTACATCTATGAGGTACGTAGTGCCTCAAACAAACACATACACGATCTTTCTGTTAGGGTGAAGTTCTGCTGTGAGTTGAGTCAGCTTCTCCTAACAGAAAGTAATGAGAACAACAGCATGTTGTATTTTTGCAGATTTTGCTTTCTAAGCAGTTTTTCATAGGTTTCCTCAAGGACCTGAACACTACCACAACCAAATACTTAAACCAGTTTTGCCAATTGTATTCAGGAGACTTTTGGGGCCTGTTCCAGTACCACTTACCCAAGCTCCTCCCGTTCCACCTATTAAAATTAAGCTACCACCAAAGACTAATTGATAATAGTAACAATTATGTGCTCCCAAGTTGATTCTGATTTACTGCAACCCTTTCCATGTTTTTTAAAGATATACTCAGAAGTGGTTCACCATTCCCTTCTTTTGCAGATGCTATAGGATTTTAGAGCTTTTCTAAGGCCACACAGGCTGGTCCCTTCTCACAGGATGCTAAGCATCAAATGAAACTCCTAACCACTAGCTTTGTAGTCTGATACCCAACACATTATCAGTCTTTAACTATCATTGGCCAACAGTGCTTACAGTATAGACAGATGAAATACGAAATGGAAACATGACAGAAACTGTTATGCACATCTATGGTGCTTCTATTACATATTAATTTATAGTTGGAAGATGAAAAAATTCAAAAACATATGCAATTTCAACACACACTGAAAAACCCATCTTATACACATATCAGAGGGAGACAATGTTTGTGGAAGACAGTGACTATCATAAAAACTAGACAATACAGAAAAGTGTTAATGCCAGAGCTTAACAGCCTTAGTAAACGGGTATTATCTACTTGTATTATTTTAAAATCGAAACCTGATTTCATGCCTTTAGAAAATTGCCTTCTGTCTGGCAATAAGAGCTCATTATGTTGTGCTATTTAAGTAAAACAACAACTTGACTCAAAAAATGGCAAACATCTCAACCTTTTCAAACACTACAAGTCATTACAAATAAGTTACTCCAGTAATCACAGCACTTTTACAGATGCTTAAGCTTTAGACTGCCATCAGGGTTACTTGAATCAATAGTTCTTCTTGAGTGGGGAAAGGGAAGATTCATGGCACTCAAGCCTGTTCATCACTGTGAGGATAGTGTACCCTACTCTCCATGTCACGGGAGGCTGGGGAGAATCATTTCTATGGGAGATATTATGTCCCTGACTGAGCTAAACATATGTCCAAAATTTGTTTCCCAAGTTTAGCACATTCTGACTTGTGGCAGCTCTTTTGAGGGTTTTCTAGATACTCAGAAATGGTTTACCGTTTCTTTCTTCTAAGAGGTGTCTGGGGACTATGCAGCTTGCCCAAGAACAAACAGGCTGTCTCCTCTAGGATACTCGGTGGGGAATTTAACTCCCAACCTCTGGCTCTTCAGCCAAATGCCTAACTCACTGAGCATATCCAGTCCCTCTATTAACTCCCCCAAATTATTATCTATACTGCATCCTAGAATTAAGCCTTTGATACACTGCACCTGTATGATGGCGCAGAATGTCATAAGCATTACAAGTCAGACAGGAAGAACATTATCAATCTTTGCAATCCAATTTCTGTGAGAAAAGGCAATACTGCTGGTTTTTCTGTGATTACACATAGGTCTACAACTGGAAGTAACTTTGTGTAGTAAAATGAAGACACAAAGACAGACAAAAATTAGGGAGTCCAAAAGGAAATGACTAAAGGAAGTGCACAAATAGACATATGAAAGAAAAAATAAAGATTGGATAGAAAGAATAATGGATTAACATAAGAGATACCCAAGAAACTTCAAAATGGAGGAAATAACAGAAATAACAAAGAGTTTTCACTCATCTATGCATCCATGGAATGAGCACATTACTGTACTTCAAATACATAAGAAACACCTTAAACAGGGTCACAACACCATATTTCTGGTGCCAAAAAATCCCGTTTGTTACTCAAGTGATCAACTTCTCAATGAAAAAAAGCATAAGCAAAGCAAAGCGTGCTGCTTATATACCGCCCCATAGCGTTTCAAGCACTCTCTGGGTGGTTTACAATTTAATTATGCAGGCTACACATTGCCCCCCCCCCAGCAAGCTGGGTACTCATTTTACCGACCTTGGAAGGATAGAAGGCTGAGTCAGCCTTGAGCCGGCTACCTGGGATTTGAACCCCAGGTTGTGAGCACAGTTTTAGCTGCAGTACAGTGGTTTAACCACTGTGCCACAAGGCTCTCCAACTTTCCCAAAATCTTTAGACTGCTGACTGCCCTGTTTAAGATGTTTCCTGTGTATCTGAAGTAATGTGCTTATTCCACGAGAGCACAGATGACTGGAATAAAGAGTTCTGTGACACATTTCGGAATGTTAATGGTGGTTTGAGATTTCTTTGACATAGCCCATTTCTTTAGATACAGATTTATGTACTATATTCATGAAGTTCATGCCAAATAAAACTTGTTATTCTTAAAAAATGCTACAAGACTCCTCGTTTTTACCCTAACAGGCTAACAGGGCCATCTCTTTAGAAAGCCTAACATAGGTTTCTAAACTATTTCTATTCTGAAAGATGGCAAGTCCTTTGGATTATTTTACACAACACTGACATGCAAGAATAATTCACCATATCCTAAAAAAATGTGAACATTCTATTCAGCATAGATGTGTGGAATCCTTTCCAACTATATCAAAATATTTCACAAACCATCCTCTTTTGCCAAAGCATCACTTTAAAAAGGGGTGGTTTACCTTTATCACAGATGAAAGAGAAAATCTAGATTTTTCAAAAACAATGAAGTGTTAGCTAGTATTATTTAATGCTTCATTACTGAAAACAATTTGAAATAACAATTCTTTCACTTGTTTACAGAAAATATCACAATGAAATAATGCAATCTTATGTAATCTACTGTGGGAAACTGAAGAGAAGGAAATGCTTTATATAAATAAAAAAATGCTTCCTCCAACATGAGTTGACTTAGCTTGACTACTTATTTCAACTTGAGTACTTATTTCAGCTTATATTCAGTTTTAAGTCCTAATCATATTTTTTCAGGAAACACAGCTATCTATGAAAGCTAATGATATCTTGAGATAACCAACTGGCACCATAGGCTTCAAACAACCTATTTCAGGAAGAGATTTGGAAGTATAACTGGGTTACATTCTTTGTGAAGGTCTTTGTGGTTTTACTAGAGAAATATGTGAATCCTGTCAAGAAAACTTTGAATGCTCTGCACATTATCTTCTGGCATATTAACTGTCCAACTGTGTGTAGAAGAACAAGCACTTCCTGTAAGAAGTGCCTTCTCTGCTCTGTTATAAACGCCACCTGTGCAGATGCAAAATGATGGGCAATAATTAAGGACTGGGTTCCACTGTTACCTTTTACCTACATTATGTCTAACACTTACTTATGACTCCTTCACCATCACATTGTCTACTTTAGAACTCATGCTTTCTAGGCAATATTTCTATTTATAGTTGCTCATCACTTACAATTATATCCCACCTTTCTTCGAGTGGACCAAAGTGGTTTATAGGGATAAGTCATCATCTTATCCTTAAACAACCCTGTGAAATCAAGCAGCCTGAAAGACTTTGTCTGGGACCAAGGTCACCAGTGAATTTCACCTCTGGATGGAGACTAGAATCAGGATCATGCCATTCCAGCTCAATAATCTAACTGTCACACCATTTCCTCAATAACTTACAGTGTAAATCGTATGCAGATCCTATTTCTATAGTTTGCGCAGTAACACACGTGCTGCTGATACTACCCGGTAGATAGTGTGTGTTCAAATACACTTTACGTTTAACTTGTAACCTCAGTCCAAATCACATCGGCGTCAACACGGCTCCTCTGTCAGCTGCAGATATATTAAAAAAATCTCTTTTCCACCGACACCTCCCACCCAAAGTCTTTTCCCCCCACCGAGAAGTTTCTCTGAGAAACAACACAGAGTCCTCTGAAGTTTTCTTTGGCCGAACAAGAGACAGCCTCCTGTCCGAGTCTCAGGGGCCGAGCCCAGGGCTACCTCTCTCCCTCCCAACTTCCTACCCACCCACCGAACCCTCGCCCCCAGCATCTCACCTGCTCGGGCGGCGGAAAGAAGGAAACCAACCCTCCCCTTGGCTCTCGTGTCGTTTCCCCCCACACAAACACACCTTCTGGGGGGAAAAAGGAGCGAGGCGCTCCGGTCCCTTCGCTACGAGCCCCTCAAGGGAGAAGAGAGGACCAGGGCAAGACCCGACCCGTTCCCTTCCCTTTCCTCAATGTAAACAAGGCCCCGAGGGCGCCCCCCTTCTGTGCGCTCACCCAGCAAGCGGGTAGGACGGTGAGGAGGCCCCGGCCGCCTCGGCCTTGGGAGGCGCTTCCCACCCTGGTAGCGGCTGAGGTGGACGACGCGGACGGAAAGTGGGAGAAGGGAGAGGGGAAAAAAATCACCTCTCCGCGGGCTGATCCATCTCTAGCCGGGCCACTGTGGCTTGCGCACCGGAAGCCCTGGCCCTCCACAGTGGCGTCACTTCCGCCATCAGGAAAGGCCGCGGAGGGGGGGGGAGAGCGCCGAGCAAGTCCGAGCGGCGCTGACGTACGAGGATCCCGTCCTCGAGGGAAGGCTTCGCGTGCCGGAGGGGCTCATTTCCGGAATGAGGGGTGGGTGTCTTTGGACGAAACCACTATCAGGATGGCGGCGGGGGGGGGAGAGAGGAATGCCTGGGATCGGGGTATATGGTCAAAGGGGCCGTTGCAACAGTTCTCAGAGTCGGCGTGATCCGTGAATCCAGAGAGCGCCGTCCTGTTTTCAGGCCCCCTGAACTGGACCCTTGGAAGCGGCTCAGAGTGGCACCGACGATGCTGAGAGTGATGCAGAGGTCAGACCCTCGTAGGAGCTCTGTGGCCACAGCTGAAGTCTGCCTGGTTGATGCCCTTCAGATCTCTGCTTCAAAAATATAAGAGTGTCAGCATTTGCTAGACGGCGACCATCCGTTCCACAGTGGAAAGCTTTTACTGTCAGGAAGCTCTTCCTGATGATCAGTGGTAATGTGTAGTTTCTTATACAGTAATTTGAATCGGTTGTTTCAGGTCCTACCCTCTGGAACCACAGCAAGCAAGCTCCATCTTTGCTCCTGACAGCTCCTCACATACTGTAATTGATCATGGCTGTCATATCTGCTCCGGGTCGTCTCCTGGCTAAATCTATCCATCTCCCTCAACATTTCCTCTTAAGCTTGGTTTCCAGACTCAGAGGCCACCCTCCTCTGGACACACTCTGGCATGTCAGTATCCTCCTTAAACAGCGGTGCCCACAATATTCTAGATTCAAATCTGGCCATAGCAGTACAAAAGGGTATGATCATCCTCTCTTTTATGGATAACATAATTTCAAGGGGCATGTTTTGTTCGGGCAGTGCTCCTAGACTTGCATAGTGCCTTTCATAAGCTGAGAGCGCACTCTGTAGAATATGCAGAGGAGAGAAATTTCTAATCTGTCTGGGAAATAGAGTTTTCTGAGGGCAAGAATTGTGAAAAATATCTATTTCAACTTTGTGTTGGAATCAATAATCAATCAACCAGCCGTGAGTTGATGTAATTGCTTTTCTGTTTTGCTCTTGACCATTTGCACTTTGCTTACCTTAAACATTGCACACAATTGTCACAGGCTGTGCTTTTTGCATTTCATTGCCATCTGGCCTTATTCCTTCTTGATCCATGTGCATATATTTGCATGTTAACTGAGAATATACGCTTCAAGCATTGTTTTTGCGGCAATAAATCTGTTTGTCTCCTAAATGTCTACAAGATTGTTTGCTCTCTTTTTTTCCTGCAACACTCTCTGTGCTTGAATGGGCTCTTGCCTATCTCTTACCATTGTTCTGCTTGAATCTAGTTTGTTTAGCGTTAGGCTACTTCTGTCTGGAGTACTGCCCATCTGCAGACTCCCAGTTCCCAGTTCTTAACTCTTTTAGCCATGACAATTCACTTCTAGGTCCCTTGTTTTCAGATACCAATCTTGACTGTTGCACTGTGGTCATCAGTCATTTAATAGAACAGAAGTTTAGTGACAATCACATAATAATTGGCAGGGATAAAATAAGACATTTTTAGCATTGAATATATAATCTTCCTGCATCTTGCATTCACTTGTGTTGGCAAGCAAAACGTATTGCTAAAGTTTGCCACTAGATGGAGGGAGAGTATTCACAAATCATTTTATGGGTCCTTCCTGTCTGAAAAGATATAATATAATGTTCTGGATTAATTAATTCCCAAAGCAGTTTGGATATAATAAGCAGATTTCTTATTTGTAAAGTAGAGCCTCCTAGTATCAGCACAACAGCGTTCTGCATTGTACTTTTCCTGCCAAAAAAACAATGTATTCAGAATGCCATTTGAAGAGTCTTGTTCCTGTTTTAGTTTTTTCCCCCAAATTCCTTACCTAAAATAATATAAATTTTGCTCACAAAACAAGTTAAAATTTAAAATCAAAATAGGTAGCAGCACAAATGTCCATATTTTCCAAGCGTTTGCATGTTGTTGTCACTATTACATGTTGTCAAATTGCTTCTGTTGTATGGTGATTCTAGGAATTACTGATCAAAAGGTGCTATAATTCCTGGCCTTGCAAACTCAAGGTTGTGGCTGCCTTACTATTAATACATTTAATGTTCAGTCTTTTTTTCCCTACTGACTTCAACTTTTCCAAGTCAATTTTGCCTTTTAATTGTGTATCTGGGGAACATGAAGGAGCTTCCCCAATGAATGTGAGGACTGTGAACACATTTAGGCATCCCCTGGGCAACAACAGCACTTCGTTGACTGATCTTTCCAATCCAGAAGCACCATAGGATTGCTTTTGACATGAACAATAAGATGGTATCCCCAAAGTACAATATCCTCAATTTAGGCATTTTGGCTTATAAGGAATGTTTAGGCTAAATTTACTGTAATAATAGTCATGTGTTATCAAATCAATTCTGACTTACGATGACTTTTTTCCCTAGGTAGAGAGTACTCAAAAGTGATTTAGCATTCCCTTCTTGGGTGCCCTGGGACTGTGCAACTTGCCCAAGGCCACATAGTCTGGCTCATCTCCTAAGAAGTGGAACGGGGAGTCAGATTCTCATCCTCAGGCTCTTCAGTCAGATATGTGAACCTCTGAGCTATCCAGCCAGCTAAATTTACCTTCGCACACACTTATTTATCATTCTGGCAGACCATGGTATCTGCAAAACTACCTCCCAACACTGCATTTTCAATTAATTTAGTTTTTCCCCCCAGTCCACTTTCTTCACTATCCAACCTTCACTTTCCAACTTTCAAATCTACACATAGCAATGAGGAATTGTGTAGTATAGATCAGGGGTCCCCAAACTTCTCAGTATGAGGGCCACATCATACCTTTTACATATTTTCAAGGGCCAAAGGAGGGAAGGGGATCCAAGTGTGGCTGGGGGATTGCTGGGGCTCCCCTTCCCTCCTCTTCCTATGCCTGGGCTGGATGTGGCCCACGGGCTGTAGTTTGGAGATCCCTGGTATAGATCGTCTTAAGCTCAATCTCCAATGGCACATCCTTATTTATAAGGATCTT